GATGTTGGAATTTCGTGTACGATGCGCGCAATAAAAACAAAAGGTAACATCAAATAATAGAAATACGATCTCTCTAGAGACGTCTAACAATTAAATCGGTCTCATAAATTCCAAGTTGTGACTTAAAGGAGCTTTCGCATACTGCGTGATACAGGGGACGATATAAATCATAAACGAGTTCAACTGAGGTAATAAATTCTCTTTAAATAGAACTATGAAGTATGTAGAAGTTTGGAGGAATTCTCCACATTCTGATACTGGGAATAAGAGTGTACACGTTCCAGTCCCGGCCAAGGGAAATTTGGTACATGGCCGCATTATATTCTGTTAAATGGGAGTAATGTTTTGCTTTTGAACGGTGGAATCGAGCGCAATTGCAATGAAAGCGTGCGTGAACTTTGCATGACTGCTTAACATATTTATTACACGGTAAAGCTTAGTTGAGGGTTAAAGTCTATTAACACAACCCGCTATGGTTTCGCTGCTGCGAGGCATAAATTGATTTACGTTATGGTGTACGCAACGTAAAATTGAAAATGTCACGGCGCACCTGATTGCGGCCGCAGAATAGACTGTGTTCATTAGAGCGTGGGAAATTATGACGACATTGTCTCCTAAAGTTTTCTATAGTTTTAGCTCAAGGTGCTTGTCGCCATCTTTTACTCTTTAGTACTGTTTTCTTAAATGAATTTATTACACAAACGTTACATGAAAGAAGTTCATATACCCCACAAGACTCAATGGCATCGATTTCAACAGGTCATCGGACTTCGTCTTGAGATACTGTGTCCCAAGTAATTGTAGCGAACATTCTAGAATTCTCAAGGTGCCATGAAATATTAGTCATCGGCGATAAACAACGAAGACGGTGTGACGTAATCTTTCAGATAAATATGACGTGTTTGTTCTAGAACATTATAAATTGTAAGTGATAAATAGTAATTACTGTTATAAATTAATCAATTTTAGCACTGTTATAAATTAATTGTTCGTTAATTTGCGAACAAATAAAACCACGCAATTTACGTTACATAATGTTAGTTCTTCCTCTTACGAGGTTTCTATTGAGCTTTCTATAATTTTTTTTCTTATTTCATGGTGCATTCTTGTGAAAAAGATACCTGAATAATTACAAGAGAACTCACTGCTAATTTGAAGTGAGTTCAGGTAATCATTGGAGAATTTATAGAAATAGAAGTACAGTGTGTTGGATTCTTGTCGTATCTCATCAGCTAAAGATCGCTGCCCCCTGAATTTTCATAGTGTGGCAAAGCACAGACTGTCAAACTTCGATCCACATCTGCTACCATTTCATCAATCAATTACGTTAAAAAAACATTAACGCTTTATGAGAAACGTCCAAAGCTGATTATAAAAGTGGATAATTATGTAGACCTAATTATGTTCCTCATTACGTAACTAAGCGGGAAGCAGGTGCAGAAAGCTTATCCGACAATTTTTATACAAAGCGTCAATACAAAAGCAGCTTTTAATTAAGCCAAAAATTAAAAAAAAAAGTTTTAGTAGTCCAGTTAATTGTTTTCGGTCATATAAGCGGAGACCATAATTAAAAGGGTTTTAATTCCTAAATTAACGCATGTGGTATAAATATGAAATTGTGGTTTAGATGAAATAAAAGTTCACAATGCGTGCAAGAGAAAGGGTCAAAAACAGTTAAAAAAAGCAACCCTTTTGTGCAAACTTAGGGTTTATCAACGGGATTCCCCAGTTTTCATTGTTATTATAATTAATAAGGTTTATCTATTATTATCTTTCGTAAATTTACATTTAACGCACGAATGTTCGCCCGACAAAAATTATTACATTTTAATTAAAAGCAAAGCGCACTTTAAAATATCTGTAATTAATTTTATCACTTACTAACTAATCGTGTTACCTCAAATTGCTTTTCATTTTCCAATATTTTCGAAGAGTATTACGAGATTCAAAGCTGTAGATGTAGTTCGCATATAACGTCATGAATTTATTTTTTACACTATTGCGCTCACGAGCCGTTGGGGTTATTAGGGAAAATTAATGAATTGGCCACTCGCCAACGAAATGAGTACCTATTCACTTATAAGGAAATTTATACTGGCTATTAAAAAGAAAACTCATTCTATCAGAATAACGTAATGATAGTTTTCACTTCATTTCCCTTGAAGTCAAAAACTTTAGATCTCTTCGATGACTTTATTAAAATATATCGTTATTGGATTCGCAGCTAAAAGCTATGAAAGTACAGTACAACGCTTGCAAAGATATCCGTAACTCATACGAAGTACGAATCAAATATATGACATTTTATGAAATTGCATAGACTAGAAGGAGACTTCCTTGTGATTCCCTTTAACAAGAAGAACACTTTTAATTGCTACGGTAACGGCGACATTAAAATTGCGGTCAAAGTAATGGTAGGGTAAACTCAAATAATCGAATCATATTTGAGTATTAGAAGGGGTAACTGAAATGGCAAATCCTTCACTTCGACGCTTAATTAGCTTAAATTAACGAAGGGACAACGTTAATATTTATAGAGAAAGTTAAAGCATATATACGTGGAAAATACTTGGTAAAGGATGGGCACTGATGAAAGAGCGATGTCTATTTGGTAATAGTTTAATTAACGTAGTGAGACCAAACAAAAAGCCTTCAAGGTCTGGTCTGTGTACAAATAAAATATGGCGGTTGCAGCAGCATATTGTTCTGTAAACTACAAGGGGGTGTCGTTTCTCTTGGTTGAAATAATGCCGAAGATGAGAGCGAGCCACCCTGTAATGAAAAATTGACGTGTTGTCAACGTAATTTCCGGTTTACGCATTGCAAATATGAGTCGGGACATCCTGTATGTAAAATGTATCGATTAATTTGATAGGACCTGGAGAAATTTCGTGCAAAAGGTCACTGAATGGGAAAAATTATTAAATTGTGACTTTAATGTTAGTTTTTTTATTGCAAATTTATTTATTTATTTTTTATTTACGTATTTTAATGTTTAAGTGGTTAATTGTATTTGTTGTATTTAGTGAGTATCATAAGACTTAGAACGCTTAAATAAGGTAAAAGTTTTATCGAACCAGATGTTTTGTAAAGGCGTTATCGGCCAAATTAGTTGGCTTTATTTTCTGCACACATGTATACATTTTTTTAACAGCTCATACATATTGGATTAAGGGATTTTGCACTTATTTTAGGCGTCACTTCCAGGTATAAATGCGTCATGGAAACAAAGGTTTGCTTCAGAAGGTAAACACCTTGCTTCAATTCTCCGTGCCGCATTGGACACAGTGGCGTATGTCGCCGGCCACAACTGCGGCTGTGCAAACCAGGTAAAGGGAAACTCCACATGACCTGAAGGATGGGGAAGGACCCTAGAAGTCAGACACTGGAAGGTTCTGTGGTCCAAGCTGCCACACGTATGAAAGGCAGTCGGTGCTCTGGACAAGTGTGGCTGCGAGACAAGCTGCGAGATTTTTTCGATATAATTTAGTACCGAACCTTTCATATTTATATGTGAAATATCTCTTCAGTGGGGATAACGCAATCACAGAAGACGTCAGTGAGTACTTGGCGATCTTTCATAGCTTTATACATTTTGTACCTGCGCGCATTAACGACGTACCTTCTGACAATTTTTTTTATTAAATAAAATATTGTTATAAGTTTATACATTAAAACTTTGGAATATCTTGGTTTTCACTGAGTACGACGATTTCAGAAAATGTGGTAGCTTGGTATGGAAGCCTTTCACGCACTTTCGATGCTTGTAGGTTATTTTTGTTACCATAAATGAATTCCCTGACACCAAAGAACATATGCCTAGACACCTTCACGTCCCGACGTGCTATATTTAGTTTTCTTCAAAAATATTACATTTAATCAACCCCACCCCCTCTAAAATCTACCCACACGGAAAATGTCACGTGTTCTTCGGGCCAAATCGTCTAAATGGTTTTAAGGAACAGTTGTACCAAGTGGCACCTTGGTATCACAAAATGCAGTATCTTTCAAGAATTGCCGTTATACCGCTAGTACTACGAGTATTGACTATTTAATTGATGAGATTCTGGGTGGAAAATGTCTACCTATTTTTGATGTTAGTTTTTTATCGCTTGATGGTGGATCTAAATGTTTAGCTAATGCTACGCATAAGGAACGAAATCCCGCAACAAAATCTCAATCCCGGTATTTGCGGGATTGTTAGATGTTAATCCTGCGGGATCCCGGTATTTGCGGGATCCCGCAAAACTTTAAATAAATTGGCTAATAAGCAATTCTGTGCGGTTAACTTCTGTATTAAAATAAATCGCTAATTATCACAATATTTAACAAAAAAGTACCTTCGGCCTAACTTAGAGCTCAAAAAAACCTCAACGGTAAAGCACAAATGGTGAACTTCTAAAGTGCCTCAAAAATCATGGTACATTTTTAACGAAAAAGTTACAATTATTTAAAAAATAACTTCTCCGTTATGCGTTTCATTAACAAAGTAAACAGAGTCGTCCCCTTGGTCGACAAATTCCTCAGTCCCGCAAATCCCGCGGGATCCCGCTCCATTTATGTGCGGGATTAATTCCGCAAAAATGCTGCGGGATCCCGGTATTTCGGGATCCCGCGATCCCGGTATTGCATTCCCTAGCCCTACGCAACTATACTTCGTTCACCCAACAGAAATAGTTAAGCCACTCCTACAAAATTTGGGCCAATGTAAGCAGCAACCAGTTTTACAACCACAAAATTATAAAAAGCGGAAAATTTGAAAAATCAAATTGAAATGTCACTTGCTCAAGACTAATTATGGCGCTATCTCTCTAAACATAACTCGTGGCAAAAATAGTAAAACCTGCAAACTGTTAAATACATGTAAATATGCAACATAAAAACACTGTTTATATTGAGAAAAGTACAAAAAAGTATTATTACAGCAGCACAAAGTTTTGAAATTACAAGTGCACTTGAATATAAACAAAGGTACATAACAATTTAAATCCTGTATCGCTTCACTCGGATTCGGACTCCGTTGATGTCGAGTCATCTCCCACATGAATTACTAATGGCTCCACTACGATGTCCATTAAAATGTCAATTTGCCACATTTTTTCCTCTTCACTTTGAGCATGGCGAATTGCGTTCTTCCAATTTTCAGCAGTAACATGTTCCACTGCTTGTTGAAATAGTGGATGAAGGTCTTTCATTTTAAATGTGGTGTTGTTTCTGGCCACTTCACCTTTTATTTGCGCCCATATCAGTTCAATTGGATTCAATTCGCAGTGATATGGAGGCAATCGCAGCACGGTACGATTGTGTTCCTTTGCAATTTCATCAACTACATATTTTGGTGTAACAGCTGCCCGTTTCACAAGCTGCAGAAGTTCAGCTCTTACCATATCTTCTTCGTAAGGTATCGATTTGCTTGTTAACCAAGTTTGTATATCAGCTTTTTTCGTACTGGTGTTTGGTATTTTTTTCACTTTTCCTGCTATGATATGAAGCGTTGTCCATTATAATCACAGATTGTTCATCAAGATGTGTAACGATTTCCATAAACCACTTTTCAAAAACTTCACTGGTCATTTCTTCGTGATAATCCCCTGTTTTTTTCGATTCAAAACACAGCAAACCTTCCTCGACGAAGCCATCCTCGGACCCTATATGGAGAACAATTTCCTTTGCCCGATGCATCTTTCAATCCAGTTGATAGCCCGTTGATAAATGCCTGTCTTGGAGTGAGAATTGTGGTGTCCTTCCATACTTTGCTTACAGTATGCCCAGCATTCACCCAAGTTTCATCTAGGAAATACAACTTCCTACCTTCTTCACGATATTTTCTAATTTCACGCAAGAACCGACGCTTCCAAGTAATTATTTCGTCCTTTTCCTTAAGAACACTATTGCGTGACCTCTTTTCGAATCTACAATGACAAGTACATAATATACATACACGTAAAGAAAAAAGGTTTACTGACCGAAAACCTATTTCTTTTATTAATTTCCATAAAGTAGTTCGTTTCAAATGGGGTAAGTCTTCGTCTTCGTGTAACACTGCCAAAACTTTACTCAGGGTAGGTGGTTCATTTCTTTCAAAGAAAGAATGAAGCAAACGTCGAAGAATACTTTTAGTTCCGGAATCAATATTGTCCAAAATTGCTCGTGGTCGATAATATTTTTTAGGTGAATGAAGTTCGTGTACCTCTGTATACTCCCGAAGAATCTTGTAGACACTCGGAATGCTTACACCTAAATTACACAATAATAAGTAAAAATGAATGTGCCTAAGATGAAAATTACCTGCTGCTTTAGCCGTAAACTCAACTTTATCCGTTTTAGATACCTCCGGGTTGTCTTCCGAATATGCCTTGAAGATATTTAAAATGCCAGTTTTGTCTTCAACTGAAAAGTGCTTGGCAGAACGTTTTTTCGGTGGAGAGAAAGCAGCACCGGCGACATTCATGTTTGCGTACAACTTTTCTTGATCGCGAATAATATAACCCTAAAAACAGGCATGTAAAAATCGTGTATAAAATTTTATAATTACTCACCTGACTATCTTTAGAATACACCGACGAGTCTTTATAAAGACTATTTTGTGTGAATAAAGGAGATTAATGGCAAATTGACGCAAGTAAAGATGTAAAAACGTAAAAACCGCAGAAACGCAATAGGCAAGATGACAGATGACAGATTACCCAATTCGGCCAATTCGCTTTACAAGTGTGATTGTGGCTTCAAAAATTACACCAATAACAATGTCGTATTCAAATGTGGCGGTAATTGTTGAGGAGGGGCTTAACTATTTCTGTTGGGTGAACGAAGTATAGTAAAATGTTCTACAGCACCTTGTTAAAAATATCCAGTATCTATTCTAACCCTATATCCGTCCTGGACTTGTTCGTTCCAGAAATATTCAATCAATTCCGATTTAAATGTACCTACGTAACTATTATATTTGTCACTATGCCTCAAACCAAGTTTTTGCTGTTTTCTCGTAAGAACTAGCTAAATAATAATTTTATCGATCGTAATGTAGTGGTATTAATATTACAAGCACTTTCAAGAGCTTCAAGATAGTCTAGGGGGTGTAATGTACCATCATTTTCAAAAATGGGTAACATTTTGACAATTTTGTTAATATATAACACCATGAACATTTTCATACTTGACGCCACTGTGTGAACTTGTGACATTATAGGGGTAGTATTGGAGAAATATTGGAGGTGAACGGGGGGATCTGGCGAAAATTTGAAGACAGATTAATTACGAATATTTCGACGATTTGAATATTAAGCTATAATTAACAACAATCCTACATATAACTATTCCACTTTGGTTTGGTTCTAGTTTCATGAGGACACCAATATTTGATTGTAACACAGCGTAAAGCTCGTTTCTCCATAGTAACAACCACCGAATGTAGTAATAACACTTCGTTTTAACGTACAGTCACAAAGGAATAGAGCAACTGCAGCGCTTTTGTTCAAATCAAATTTACGTTGAAATCCAAGCACCCCCAAACATCGAAAGTGTCGTTTTGGGAGAACGTACTTCTACTACGTTAAATGTAGCCCTATACACCGAAAATTCCGCATACAATCACTTTTGTTAGTAAACGTACTGTCCCTCTCACACATACCGCAACAAAAGCAAAAGTTAGAAACCACCACCAACATTTTTTTGGAGCCGCGAAAGTTTAATCTTTTTTTCGATCATGATGGAAACAGTGCGAAGCCGCGTCTTCGCAATAATATAAACCAAATATTACACAAGAGAAAATTTTTACTAACAAAATAATGGGAAAGGAAATCACAAGGAAGCATCCAATAACGTGAGTCATACATTGTTTTCACCCCCTGACAAATATTATAACCTGCTTGAAACACGTATGTTCCCCGTTTCACTGGGACCATAACAGTTGAGATCTCAGTCATATAATCTAAAAGTAGGGATAGAAATTTAGGGGACAGCTACTATATAATTTTAGATTACACCTACCTACATATGTGAATAATACACAATTGTCTCATAAATCTCAACGGTATCGTGTTGTAATAAAATAGGGTGTAACTTCCTTAATGAGCGCGGACTAAAAATATTCATTACTTTCCCTGCAGATAGGCGGCGGCGGCGCGCGGAAAAAATTATTTAAGTGAAAGTTTATATTTTTCGACATCTTAAATTAATATCTCGCCGAGTACGGCAGGAGCTCGCACGTTAAATAGGTTCAGTCAATTTTTCGGTCTCTTGAGTTTCGCCTTTTCCTGCCGTTTTTAGTCAGGGTTGTCCGTAATTGATGACGGCAATAAAAAGAATTATAATGTAACTTCGATTGATTTCAAAATCCTTCTTTACGTATAGGCGCGTAAAGAAGAACTTTTAGTGATTCTTGTAAACATGTCTGAAGAAGAAAAACAATTATTACTTTGATTCGAAATTTGTACTTATACTGCGTTCATGAGGCTTGTCTTTATAACGAACGCAAAAGAGTTTGGAAAGTCAAACTTTACATATGCTATGTGTGTAAGCATGTGTAAAGCTACAACTTTACACACGCAAATACTTTGGTAACGTGGTTTTGAAGTTTAGCTACATTAATCAATAATTCCCAAATAATTTTTAGCATACATTTTAATAATACTGTTTACTTTACAAACTTGGATATTTTTTCATGTGCTTTAGTCCAACAAAATCCAAAATCTTACTAAGAGCTGGTACTGTTAATAATGATAAGTGTGTGACTGTTAGTTATTCCTACGTGTTCCGGTTTATTTCGATTGCATTTCGTCAGAGGGCAGGAAACTGGTATTAATTCACTAAATACCCAAGAGAAAGAAGGAATTTATTAAGAGTTAGTAATTAAAGAATTTATTCAAAGAGCTTACGAAAGAATTAATTGATCTCAAACATTCTTAGAACTTAAATCGAAAATCTTACTTCTGGACAGTGAGCCACTGATTTTGAAATTAACGAAATAAATGTGTAAATAATTAATGTCGAAGAACCGTCGTCCAACTGAGGCAGAACGAATTCTTTTTCGGTGAACAGTTTCTCTACAGTCTAATTTTCGTGGTGCAAAACTGAATCTCAGCCAAAAACCAAACACTTTAGACCACATTAGATCACATTTTAGTGTCCCAAAGTCGAATATTGTTACCACTTGATGATTCGCAAGTCAGTAACCAGCTCTAACGCTGCTCGACCCGTAATGCCTTGAAAACAATCTCCCTTATCTTTTTGAATTAATTACGCGCTCAACTTGCATAGGTTTGCTTTGAAGGTTCAGCGAAGAATCCCTCTATCCCAACCAATTTTTACTTATGTACTCGCCGAGCTCTCCCAGCACTGGATAGTGATGGACAGACTTTAATCTCACTACCATGTATGATCATTTAAGTGCAATAGAAACGATAAAAGTTGTTTTATGATTGACTTTTTATAATTAAAAATAATAATTCCTCTTTCATAAATGCCTGTTTCTCCGCCTTCCAAAAGTTTCGCCAGATAATTAATTTTGTTTTAATCCGTTCATATTTTACAACCGCGTTTTAGTTAATTTTCGTTACTAATTATACCTTTAATTTGCTTTCGCACGTTGTGGCTAAAGCCATGGATGTTATTTTGGGCTCTTGGAATTTCCTATCTCTTACGTGAAGGAAATTGTCCGCCTACAAATGATTTGACTTCTGAGGATAAATAAAGGACCAAACCAATATCTCATATAACTACTTGAAATTATTTATCTTAATTTCTTAATACAATGGATGCGCCCGTTTTGTAAAGGAAATGCACCTGTCTTGCAGCTAAAAATAATTAATTTCAAGTGGAATGAAGTTCAAATGAAGCTCACAGATAATTATTATACTCACCCCGGAGCGTACAGATTTAAACAAAATTCGTTTAATTGCGGTAATCCCGTAATTTCCGGTTACCAAAGCTGTATATTTTAATTAACTACTCGTAAAAGTTTAGTTAATGAAAACTAAAACGGTATTTCCAATTAGCAAAGTCCTCCGAAGGAACGTTTACGAAACGGCTTAAAAAGTTTGAAGCGTCTTTAGTATTTTAATCCCGTAGTGTAAGAGGGTTGGTCCTACTAGATAAATCGCTTGTTTCGGTGTAGTTCTTTACAGAAATGGAAAATAAAGAAAACTGAACCCCATTCGTTTTCGTTGTATTGTACTCAGGTGCATAAATTCTCAAGAAAGGCTATGATTAGGTTCTCATTTTCTGCTCATACGGAAATAGACTTTGTGCGCTAGGTAAGTTCTTTGCATAACAGCACTCATCGTGGAATGTTGGAGATTGTAAACTTGCGATTTATGATCGCCTGACAATGTTTGTAATATCATAAAGCCCTTGGCGCAATTTACATAAACCTTCGAAAGGAAGATCC